ACCCAACAAGCCACTCGGCTGAATTTTTCGTTATTCAAAGTTAAATGCCCTTTACTTTACCAAATGCTAATGTAACCATTTTCCAATTTCAATCATTCGACTGTGATCATGATCTTCTAGCATTTTCTAGAATCAAAGAAAACTCGTAATCTTGTACACATTATGGCTGGTGTTTTATGGACATGAAATCGCACTTTTAGTAAGACAATAATAGAAGTAACGAAATGTAACACTAAACTAAAGCAACTTCCTTTAATTTTTCGCATTGAAAGATCACGGAGAACATGTAAACATCAGAAAATGTACCTTTCCTGTTTTGTCCAGCAAAGGACCTAGTCTTCAAGGAAAGTGAATCTCGGCTAATTTTTTACTAACTTTGCTATGTGATAGTCGTAGGTCCAAAACAAAGGACTTTCAGACTTTGTGCCCATTGAGACTTTTGATCCACGCGATCAGAACTATCACATAGCAAAATTTAAAAAATAATAACCAAAAGCCACTTTCCATAAGGATTGTAAGAGGTTCTTTGTAAAGAGACTCAAGAATTGTGATTAATGCATGTAATTAATATGTGTTTCCTAAAAGCATTCTGCGGGGCGTGATTATGTTCGTAGTACCGTACGCCATTTTCTGTATGTTCAACAGGCGTGCAAACTGCAGGATGTAATGATAAACGTAAGTGGTAAAAATATACTCTTTTTCCTTACCAATGTATTATCAGTTATCTTATACTCTGAAGAAAACTTATATAACTGACACAGTGAAGAGATAATGTTTCTAATTTGCTTAGATTTTCTAAAACACTGGAAAAAAAATTGCGCATATAAACGCTCCCCTTCTTTGATAAAGCTTAGTAAACGAATAAATTATCTCTTTAAGCTGGCTACTCACTACGCGGTACTTGGCAAGTACTTGCCAAGTAGCACGTAGTGTATACGGCGACTCGTTTAGACTTGGCGAGTTACTTCTGCTTTCCGTTGTGTCGGAAAACTGCCAGGCGTCAAAGGAAGCGAGTAGCTTGACTCGGCGACTTGTTAGAACGCGCCACATTATACAGACATATCTATACCTACTTTGAAGGATTTCATAAGTAAATTGTTTTGTGTGTTGCGCAGTCGCGTTTTGTTTAAACATGTTTCTTATTATTGTAAATGATAATAAGTCGATAATTATGTTTTTGGATTTATATCAGCGAGAACCTATCATATGGGACTTAGCACGTAAATTACATAAAAACAGAAACGAAGTGCGCGATGCTTGGAAACGAATACAAATTGATTTTTCACTAGAGGTTAATATCGATGAGTTATAAAAGAAAAAAATGTTCCCTTATGGCCACATTTCGTAACTGCAAGAGCAAATTAAAGAGCAGCACAAAAAGTGGTGCTGCTAAAGCTGTCGTTTCACTTTCGTCCATTTTTTAAGACTACTCGCCTTTCAACTTGTACTTCCTAAAAAATTGAGAGTCAAGTAAATTGGGCGCGTAATGTGTACAGTTTACTTTAACTTGAGCAAGTACTTGTCAAACTATTCCAAGTCAAGTCACTCAGCAAGTCCCGTGTAGTGAGTAGCCGGCTTAGGTACTTTCGTTCGCTCTATGTACACGTGCCTTAATATTTCAATGTTATTTGAACACAAATTTCAATGTTAAAGGTTGCTGTACACTCCTGTTGTAAAATAACTATTTTAATTAGCATCTACTTTTTTATATAACTTTTCACAAGTATATTTATACAGAATGTTTTCTAAATCATAACTTCTAGGAGGTGCTTCTCTAATCATTTTAGGCCTTATAAATTAAGAATGCCTACAGATTGTTTAAGTTTTAAAAATGTATTTACTCGAATGTGTCTAAAGATATATTAACATAAACTGATGAATCCTGGTATAATAATATAAGATAAAAATTATCTAAATGGCATACATACTGTTTCGGGATTAATTGCTCAAATTTAAGTTTGAGTGATGTATGAAAAAAAAGCCATACAGATTATTGAAATTTGAGAAATATTTCACGTTTTCTAAAATATCACGTTGCAAGCCTAGAGTCATTTTTCACTAATTGGTTAAATGTAAAATAAAGGTCGAACGCAGAAGTCAGTTTTCGAAAATTGCGCATTATTATTGCGAAAAGCGATAGATATTCATAAAATTTATGGAAAAGACGGCCAGTGCAATGACCAACATGTGCGCCAAAGACCGATTCCATTGACAATCAAATTGTTGCCCCGGGTATTTGTTAATTAATTTCGTTCGTTTTTTTTTTTCAACTAATTGTTTAATTACTAAATGTTAATTTTAGAAGTTCCAAGGCAACGTATCGAAAAAGAAAAATTTCAAAAGTTGAAATTAAGTTGATCCTTACAACTGACAAGGTAGGAGGTGCAGTGTTATATTTAAATTGTCCCTGGGTTAGGCAAAATCCGCTTGGGATTCGTTCTTTTTGCGTTAAATAAAGCTCATTTTTAGGGTAATTAAAAAAAAGAAATTACCTACGCCACATTGTCTCCAAGATAGCCTCTTTATTACGTTAATTGTTAATTAACTAATGGACGTATAGGACGGGGATTTTAGGGATAATTAAAGAAAGTGTTAATTTTTTATTTTCAAAACGTTTTACATTGATAGTTTATATAATAATCGCGCTAGCAGCAGTAAAATGTAACGTTATTGAATGGTCTGCGCGCCCGATAAGGAGCGTTGAGCATGCGCATGCGTAACTAAGGTAGGGTTGTAGAATGTATTTTTTTATTTTTTTATTTTTATTGAATTCAGGCATTGTATAGGAAGAGTCACATATTTTGTAATATTTAAAATAAATTCAAACTACCTACTCTATATCTTATTTATTTTACTTTACATTAGGAAAAAAATCATTTAGTATAAAGTAGGAGTATTGTATTTGTAAAACTTTTCCTTAAAAAATGTAAAATTGTAAATTATCTCAGAAGGCAAATTATTAAAAATATTAAACCTAAATAAAATGGTGAATCCCAAGATACTTTATATTTACAGAAAGGAATGTAAAATTTCTTATTTTGCCTAATACTTTTAATATACAATGTGATGATTTGGAACAGAATTCATAACTCTTACACTGAGTGATTTTTAAAAAAACGCCAACACAGGTCGATTTTGTTCTCGGGAGGGGCATCTTTTAAGATGATTCAGTTATACACAGGGTAACCCAGAAAAGCTGGACGGTCAATAAATTGTTTTTTTCTTATGTAACGCCCTGTATATTTTTCCATATTCGGATAAAGCTAATACAGTGATGTAAGGTTTGATCGGTATATATCAAATAACAAGCGTTTTTTTTTTAAATCACTCAGTATGAAAGTTATGAATTTTGTTTCAAACTTTATCATCACGTGAAAAGTGAATTTATTTCTAAAAACGTATGCGACAATTCAAAGGTAAACAACACCAGCTAAAATATTAAAATTTTTAAAAATTTGTCTACATGAATGGCCACAAGGACAAAAGGTATTCCAGCTATGTATCTTAAAATACGTTTTTGTGGAATATAGACAACACCATATCTCAATCTGGAACTCACATACGCTCGATAAACAGTTATTAATTGTAAAGAAGTTAAAACAGGTTTTAGGTTTCTTATCAAATAACATGCCAAGTTTAATTTCGATATTAATTTATTATTTTTTATTCATTATTTATGTTTTTCTTTTATTTATTATTTTATTTATTTTTCGATCTACTGCTATCCTAGCATTTCTACGCTAATAATTTTTTCAGCTTTTAATAATCTCAATTGTATTTTAAAATTTCATTACTAGGAAAAAAAATTATATTATGGCCTTTTTTTATGACACATGTAGTTAATTCTAGATATATTAGATTCACTGAAATGTGTGATGTATAGTAATTCGAAAACGATCCGATTTTTAAATTAAATGGAAGCGATATTTTTTCATACCACTAGCAATTAAAAATAGAGATAACAGTTTTCGGTTAAAAAATGATAGTACAATTACATAAAATCAAAGTTATTTCTTAAACTGGAGAATGCCTTTGCCATAAATATTTTGTAATCCGGGTATTAGACAAACCTTTGATTAAAGAAAGTTGTTATTTCAAGTTGCATCACTTTATGTGAAGCATGTTCAAATATAATATAATTTGTTGTCAAATTTCAACATTCTGTATCTCGAAATCAAAGCGTTTCAAGTTCATGAATATCTTTCGAGTTTGATTGCGAAAAATTCATTGTTATTTTTTATTTACAAAATAGTTACAATTCAATTTCATTGTCTAAAATAAAATTACCATATCTACCTGTCTGAGTAAATAAACCTGAAAGTTCCTTTTTGTCCCCATTAAATAACTTAGATTAAGACAGTAGTGTTACCGTATCTATCCAATTGGAAACATCCTGTATATGTACATAACTGCAACCAGAGGCGATTTTGCTATCGATAGTTGTCGTCAAAATTAATATTTAGGGCTTATCAAATCGGAAATATAATAGCAAACAATACGATACCAAAGGCGACAAGTTACAATTCTACTGTTGGGTTCCACGGGCTTAAATTTGGCAATTAATAAAAAATGCGATATATTAAAAGTTGTTTTAAAAATATATATTTTTAACTATTTTTAAATGTCTTGCTTTCTGTCCATGAATACGTATATGCAATTTACATTTGTTATTTTACAAAGAAAAATTAATTTATTATTTTATACTCGTGATTTATGAAACATTTATTAATTAAAGATTGAAAAAATCCTGCAAAAATAAATAATAACTCCAATATTATAAACTGATATAGCATTATATTTCTAAAGGCGTTCATGTACTGATAAGAAATTGTATTTGGCAATAGAAATATTTATTGGTGCAAGTTATCTTAAATCTAACAAATAAATACATAGATGGTTAACAAATAGTCAATATTGAACAGTTTACAACTTGCAAATCTTTGATAAATTTAAAGAACCTATACATATAAAAATGTAAAAATACTCGTGAATATACTTACGTTAGTGCTGCATAAAATTTCAAAACATCAAAATTCATACGTGTTGAACACTCTCATAACCTGGCCTCAGCAGCAGAACCACTTCGTACCCGTGTCAAGTCTGATGTAAGTTAATGAACCAATTCTTAAATCGTCGCTGTACGAATATAACATACCGCGACTTATTAGGCTATTACTAATACAATAAATATTTGGTAAACTAAATATTATAAAAATATAAATTACCTATAATGTAGGTACACATTACTTTAGCACATTATGAAAATCGTAAAATGTATAAGTAGTAGAAAATTACAGAACAAATATACATAGTGTCCCAACGAAGGAATATTGCTCCATCAGGAAAAATAGATAATTGTAGACATCATTTTGACACTGTACCTTCTAAATTGGTGTAACGTAACATTTGCTTAAGATATTCCAATAATTCCCATGGCCATCGAATTTTTTTTATGAAAACTATGTTCAGACTTTCAAAAAATGTATTATTTATTATATATCAATGGAAAACTATTTTAAATTTTAATAAGGCGATAAAAAATATACAGCGTGTTTCAACTAAAAAGTCACAAGCCTATGATTGTTTTTTTCTACTCCATTTTTTGTCTTTCTACTTAAAAAGTTTTTACCGTTTTTCGGTTCTACATAATAAGATACAGCTGTTGGTGGAAACTGAATTTTTTTTTGAAAAATGCTCTATATCTTTGCAATGGAAATAGACAACAGGCTGGTTTGTGCAATTGGCCTTTTCTCTAAAAACAAGACCAGAAAAAAGTATATCTGCTTTTTCTGTCTTTCGTAATTTTCGAAATAACCCTAAATTTTCTCGAATTTGGATCACGCTGTACAACATATCAAATCTAAACCTTTTGCGTTATAGCGCATAAAGTAAATACACTTCATATCAACTTTAACGCATCACTCAAAAGTTGATTTACTAGCGAAATTTGACAATCTGACAATCTTTAGAATAATTGTAGATTGTAGACCTTTGTAACGTCAGTGCAGTGGCGGCTCTTGACTTCCATACCAGAGAGGGCGGAAAAATTTAGGTAAAAAGTATTGAAAAAAAAAATCAAATCGGCTAGTTTTATTTTAAATACTATTGAAATATAGGAAAAATGTGTTCAACATTATTTTTTATAGTGAATGTCTATTCTGCTTTTGCCCGAAATAAATTTTTTAATTACTTTTTCATTAAAGTTTGGCACTATTGATTTTTCATCAGATAGCACTGCAAGTGCTGTTAGTGTCTCTTTACAGTCTAATTTAAACTTTTACAATCTTAAAAAACACAAGAAATAATACGTAAGTAACAAAATTTTACACCACAGGTGAACAAATTATGTTTAATAAGAAAAAAAAGCGGTGACTAGCTGTTATTTGGATAGAGCTGGACTAAACAGAGCCCAACCTGCATAGTAAATATGCGCTACTCCCACTCCGTCTTTCACTATTGCGTGACGGTAACCATGACCACCGCTGTAAACACTATACCTACAAATTTAGAGGCGAGCTGCGAAGAGCCCACGTATTCAGTGTTTTTAAAATTAATTTTGTGAGTCGAGTTAAATTGACTGCACATTACAAATTTAACATTTCCTTTTTAATGAGGGTCGGCGTCCCAGAGCACTCTCTCACCAGTCGCCACGGCGTTAGTGATGAAAAAAAAAAAGAAAAATCAGTAATAGAAAAAAATCAATCCATGCTTGTAATAACTGCTTTTCATCGATGATTCATATTCAAAACCAGATGTTAACCTTTTCTTGATCAATGAAATTTCACATTTTTGGGACCATGTCGTCAAGAGAGATAAGTAGAGGATGAATGTTTCTAAATACCAATACCTACTGCCACTGATTTTTTTATTGTTTTTGTAATTTAACTGCGTATTTAATATCGGATTCAATCAAGCAACTTACAAGGTGTTTTAAGTTTCCGAGGAAAATGTGCTGAAAAGCCCAAATTTCAATCGAAATTTGTATATTGTCATCGTTATAGAGATTAAACTTTTAATTAAAAATAGAAGGTGAAAAAATCAAATCAACTGTCAGTGAGGAAATTTTGAAATGAGCTATTTTTAATGCTGCTTTAATTTCGATTGATATGACACGGTGTAGAAAAAAATGTCGTATGTAACTCGTGTATAAAGCATCATGATCACATTTTTTAATTATGTTCTCAAAAAACAATTTTGTAGTAATTTTGAGTCGTTTTTTTAACGCCATGTTCAGTTGTTTTTTTTTACATTATAGAAAAATTTTTTAAAATGTCTAACTTTCGTATCTTTTTTGGAGAGGATCTTTTTACGGTAGATAATAATAAGCATTTTTAATTATAAAAATCGCTAAAGCTTCAAAATGGTTCCTAAATTAATAATAACCAAGATTGTCAAAACATATTAAGAACGTCTGGAATCGTCCTCGACTTTCATACCTACTACATAAAAAGAGGTGAATAGTTGTAACAGTAAATGGGATATTGCCTGTTTTTTTTGCCCTGTTTTTTGTGAAGTGAATTCATTGAGAGAAATAATTGAGTACATTTTCAATAAATGTTTGGCATTCTGTTAATTTTACACATTTTTGATAATATTTAATCTAAAACTGATAGTTTCACTGATAAAATTTTAGTTGTACTCATACCAATAGAGGAAAATTTCACTCAATCGGGCATGGACAGAAATTAGCACATTATTGAGTGAAATTGAGTGAAAATGAGTCCAACTTTTCTTACAGTGTGTGAATGGAATGTCTATGTGTGTGAATTAACAAGTACGAATAAGCACACTAAAATGGCACAATAATATAGTAACAAAGAACTAACATGACGATAATACATATATGGAAACAATGATGAAAACTCCTACTTAACTGCACATCTTTATCTTCGCCGATTTCCAAATAACCACGCATCAGCAAGGCAGAGCTATAGGAGACCTCAGCGGTTCCAAAAAGATTTTCATCGGATCAGTGTATTAAAAACAAAAAATTTTATTTGCAAAAAAATCTGTTAATCAAATTTTCCCACCTCGATTTATTTAAATTTTAAATTGTAAACACTTTTTTACAACTTCACACTTACCTACTATACCGTTAAAGAATGTTACTTTTCGAACTAATATTAATAATAAGAAAGCTAAGAAACAATAGACCTTGGATGGGACAATGTGTACAGACGACAGACCATATTAATCATTTACTGTATAAATAAATACTGCTTTTTTATAATACTGTTGAAGAAAATGCAGATTTCATTCGAACTTCGACCTTCTAGGTATGAATCGCACAGCTTTCTGCCCATATGCGGTTTTTGGTCCTTTTTTGACCTTCCCCGATTTTTTTATACCTATGTACCATCCTAAGTGTGCGTATTTCCTTGACAAGTACGCGTTGTATGATCCCTGGAATGACTCAATAAATACAGTTGCTTCCTCTGAGGAGTTAGGCTAAAAGAACAATCAGAAATACTAAGTGATACATGTATAGGGTAAGGCGTTTTCGTTGTTAGCAAAGATTTGTTTTCGGTATAAAGCATAGTTTATATCTGCTGGCAGATAGCGACCTACTAATCTGTAGGTACTATAAAAGCATGACTAATGCCGTACTAGACAAGATGATTTTTTTTAATATTGTGGGAAACTAACTGCCGGCTACTATTATTTACATATCCTACAGGTAGATATATTTTTTTACTTATTACTTTTCTATAAATAAAAAACTTTCTACAAATAATATTTAATCCTAAAATCCCCTACGAGAAACGAACTTTACCACACAGTATATTAATAGTAAAAATATGTGGTGTTAGAACTGATTTTAATTAAAATAGGCACTTCAAAAGTAATGAGTTATTGTTATTAAGTAATATACAGTAATATACAGTATATACAGGGTGATTATTTCATCATGGGAGATTCGTTTTTGTCACAGTCAGCAAAGAAAAATTTCATTATATACAAAATATGAGGTACGTTCTTTATAACCTTCGTTCCAAATTGGGATGGAAATAAAAATAGATCTATGCGACGCTAATCAAAAATATTTTTCCAAGAGCATACCGCTTTTATTACATCATTGGTGTGTCAAATAGTTTAAATAGAATACATTCTTCCTGGAAAATACTGAAATAAATAGTAGCTACAGCAACTAAGTATCACAGCTAAAATATTTTGCGATATTAATTTTACGAGAATGACAACAAAATATTTTATCAAACGATTAATGAATGGATAACAAATTAAATCTCGAAATTTTTAGTAATATTAGTAAAAAAATATTATTAAATAAATCAACAAACATACAATTTTACATTTTAGTTGTTTATGAAGAAAAAAGTATCTATCAATTATTTTTTAATCTTTTTTGGGCAAGGTAAAATTCAGAAAAATAAAACTTTCGATATATCACTGTTTTGTCTTGTCAAGTAGCAGTTAATTGTCATCAAATATTTAATTTTTCCACTAAAATTGTTATCTACCGTTATCTAAAAAACATATCAAGTTCACTGTTTACAAACAATTTGCCACTCCAGTACTGTCTAGCAAGTGGGTAGCAAATAGCAATATAAAAGTACTCCCTGCTCAGATAATACAGCTACTTAGAGATTGTAGAAGCCATTAAAATAAAAAATTAGTTCTCATTCTGTCTCTATCTTACATTTTCAGGGCAGATACGAATAATTTTTTTCATATTTTGAAGAGATATATTGCCTTTCGAAGAATTTACCAACATTTCTGATATACCCTGTATAATAGTAGTAGTAATAAGAACCATACACGATATGAAACGTATGCACAATAATCACTAAAATATAGCAAAATAACATATAAAACAGATACAACAACTTAATTACAAGCTCAATCATTTATACACTTGGGGATGAACCATAAGAACAAACTTCTTGTAAGGAGTAGAGGCAATGTTTGCACAAAAAGTCATGCAATTTATTTTTAATTTTTAAAATTTTTGTAAAATAATAGTTACAATACAGTTAATAGTTGTAAATGTTTGCATAGACAAAGTAAGGTTTTTTTTTAATGTATTAAATTGTAATTTTGAATAATAATATGATTAGCATTTCTTGTACTATGAGTGTGTCATCATAAATGAATGTGGAATAAAATGTAGGTATCCTATTTGCTTTGAATATTGGTTTGCATTAATCTACGATTTAACGAGAAAATTAATCTAAGAATACGTTTTTGAAAAATAAATATTTAGTGTGCATTAAGAATAGAACACAGTTAAGTGACAGATGTGTGACATCAAAATTTAACTGAACATACTTTAATCAAATCTTTCAATCTGCAAGTTGTCAAAGTTTGTACAAAAGTTTCGGATTCTAGTAATATATCTAAAACTATGCATAATCGAGTGAAAATCTCTATAGATGTGTTTATTGCAACAAGAATTCGAAATACGTACGAGTTACTTATTGTTTAGAATTGCTGAAAACTTTTCCCTCGATTACAAAGTTTTTTTCAACATATTAGTAAAAGGTCATACTAGATGTTTTGTTCTGGTAACGGAAGTAAATACTTTTTAAGATTAGAATAGGTATAAAAATTAAATAAAATTAATCAAAAAAAATACAAACGTACAGTAGTATCCTTAGTTAACATTTAATAACATGAAAAATCGGATTTATTTTGGAAATGGTTATTTTTTTACTTCCAATTAGTAAACAAATTTTTATTTAAAACGAGGTAAATTTTTGTAATTGTTGGTCCAAATTGTAGATACTATTATGTGATGAACTAGAATGCTTAGATTATATTTGCTTAAGCAAATATACGAGGTTTGTTCAGTAAATAACCGATTTTTTTTTAATTACGTGCTAATGGAGATATTTAGTGATATTACTAATATACGGTTGGCAGCATAACCTCCTCTGTAACCACATGTTCTTGGATTATTGTTATCTCATTTAGTTTTCGTGATTTGAGTGCAACGTGTTTGTTAGTGACGATTTATGAAGTGTGCGATTTCCTAGAACAATGATGCAAAGTAAAATTTGGCGTGAAACTGAAGAATACTTTCACGGAAACGCTTCAACTTTTAAAACAATGATGATGCTCTGGGTTATACGATACGCAATATTACGAATGGTTTTCACAATTTGAAAGTGGTCGTCAGTCAGGGAGACCCTCGACTTCAATTAATGACTCCCACATTCAGAAAGTCAAAAATCTGGTGCGCCGATTGATTTATCGGAGAAATTACAGAAGACATTAGCATCTCAATTCGGTCATGCCATAAAATTTTGACTGAAAAATTTAACATGCATCGAGTTGCAGCAAAATTTGGTCCTCGTTTGATGACCGAGCAACAGAAAGAAAATCGTGTGGAGGTTCGTTGGCAACTCCTTGAATAATTCAATGACGATGAAACATTCATTCAAAGGATCATAACGGAAGATGAAAGCTAGGTTTAAGTTACGGCTACGACATTGAGACAAAAGTTCAATCATCACAATGGATTAGCAAAGGATCTACACGTCCCAAGAAAGCACATCAGTCTCGATCCAATGTTAAAATGATGCACACTGTTTTTTCGTCTTTAATGGAATTGTGCATTTTGAGTTCTTGCCTCAAAGCGAAACAGTAAACCGTATGTAATGCGCCAAAAATCAGAGTACTGTCCTCCCTCACCCTCCTCACTCGCCAGACTTGGCTCCTTGAGATTTTTTGAAGGAGACAAGGACTAATAATGTATAAAATTAATAATAAAGTTTAAAAAATAAAGTTCGATTATTTTATGAGCTTCTATAACCTTTACCGATAATCATAAAATAAAATCCGAAATTTTCAAAAAGAGTAACAACCTAATTTGGCTTCATGAATCTAATATTGAACTGGGTTCCATTCTTAATGAAATATCCTGTAATGCTAAATTGTCTCCGGATATTTTCCAGACGAATAATATAAACAAAATTAAGGATACTTGTTTATATAGATAATATATGTATATATATACAGGGTGTCCCACCAGGAACTGCGTTGATCGATATCTAGGAAAGTACTGCTTCGAAAATTTTGAAAATTTGGTAACATGGCAATGTCTCTGGGGCGAACACAGCTAAAATATCTAGAACTCTCCAGCACTTCCGGTTATACCGGAAGTCGACACCAACTTCGTTATTTTAAATGGAACGCCCTATATATTACTGCATTTTCGCATTCTACGTGAAATTTGAGGATCACTTTATTAAATACTCCCTGTACCTGTACCTGTATATTAATCATACAAAATAGACAAAATAGACAAAAAAGATACTCTTGTTTAGTTTCGGCAATTATATTCGCTTTAGTAGAATTTCAAGAAAATAATTTAAAAAAGAGAAATATATTACCTATCTTTCGCAAATTTTAATTTTTTTCAAATAACACTACTGCACTTGTATCTGTTTTGTACAAATAGTTCAAAATGTGTGACACATGGCACATACCATTGCTGAATGTAAAGAAATAACACAACAAGGTATCTTTTTGCTCTAATGGTATAGAGATCAATATTCTCCATAAATTAAAAAAGTTGGGGATGAAATAGTGACCCCAAACTTTACCTCTTACGCAAGACTTGGGATTTAAATAATAAAAAATTACAATATAACTAAACAATATCGGATAGAGAGTTTTAATTAATGGCAAAAGAACATGATGATCATCCTCTCATTGGGAGGCATATCTTCATTATTATCTATTGTCGGAAAAAAAGATTTGTAGAAAAGGCTACCCTTATTTTGTATGTCCCATCCGCTCTTAAAATATCAGGAGACAATTTGGGACCACCTTTTACGTAGGTATAACCATAACCGAGTTAAGCAATATCAATAATATTACACATTTGTAACCTTGGTGTTAGTAGGGAAGAAGCTGTTTAAGATAAAGCCATAGTAAACACAGCAATGGCAAATACGTGTCAATACTTTTTATTTTAGTTATAAATAGCGTCATTGATAAACTCAAATATTTACCTCTCCATACAACATTCCCTTTTTGTTCATCGCTACATACAGATTCGTTAACATTCCTTTTATTTTCACGTGTCCAGGAAATCCGGCCGACACCACCTCTAAATACGCTGAAATAAAAAAGTCAATACTAAATATCAGAAATTTGGAACTACTCTTACCGGTTGACCCACTACAAATGTCACTTCTATTTTCTCCGTTATTCTTCGAGACACTAATGAAGTACATATAAGAACGAAAGTGTAAAGAAAGAAAATACCTACATTACATAAACAATTGAACATCAAGCTACAGAGAGCTCTATTTGTGGAAACAACATCATGAAATGACGACAGAATAAATATGTATGTGATTGAAACGCGCTTTTGTGTACAATGACTTAGAAGGGTATTTCAATAGTCTAAGCTTCTAAATTTTTTGGAACTTAATAAATGATTTCCAAAGTTTGATAATTTGAGAAATAAATAATAACAAATAACGAAGATAAATAACTACAAATTGTCATCGACTATGATTACATAAAATAATAAATTTACACTTACTATGAAGATCATTTTCATCTGAAGTCCCTTTTACCGACCCATCAGGATATATTGCTAAATGGTGACCCGTTTTTGAATACAATTGCATTTTGTTTCCCAACACGGGATTGCCTACCCTTGTGGGTCTTAAATTTATATAACTTTGCGCTGATGAGGAGGAGGAAGAAGGAGGGGGCCATACTACCCTTTTAGTTGTCTCGTAGAAAGAGTGATTTTCTGTATCTACACCACACCTAAAAACAATGCATTAACTTTTAAAAGTTTGTCATGCTTTTGTATTCCATTTTATTGAATTTTTTATATTCAAAGATATATAAAAATAATTATTAAATTATTATTGAACGACATAGATACTTTTCTTAATTTTTAAACACGAATAGTTAAAAAGATTCTGAAAGGAAAAAATATATATTGTGTAGATTAATTGAAGCTTTGGAAGCATAGGATGAAAATGACCATCTTCAATAAAAACATAATAATAACACAGACCAACAAAATTTAACTTTTTTTTGGAAGCAGAAACTTAAATATATATTTCCGAAGGATTTAGGTGCGCTGAATCTGAATCTGGCAGCAGAATTGTCTATCACGTCAGGTTTTTGAGATCCTAACTTAAAAGTGCAAAATACACTGTTTTTCGTCATATTTGAGGTTATGTAGTAATGCCATCTACTCTTTTTCAAAAAACTAATACATTGAATCTAAAAGTACAAGGCTCCCTCCTTCGAATGCCGTTGAGTTTGCTCAAATATCCTTTTTTTTTGGTTGAGATATCATAATATGTTGACATTTTTAAGTTTCTCAGTTTCTTAATATGCGAAAATCTACTAAGGATCCGTTAGACATCAAGCAATCGATTGCAATTCAGAAACTTCATACCCATACGGTTTGTGGGTTTGGAGTTGGTGGGCTTGGGGTTTGTATGCTTGGAGTTTGTAGGTTCGGGTTTTGTGGGATTGTGATTTTGTGGGTTTAGGGATTGTGGGTTTGGGGTTTGTGGATTTGGAGTTTGCGAGTTTGAGTTCGTATGTATTGAAGGTTTCTGAGTATGAAGTTTCTGAACTGCAATCAACTGTTTGACGTCTAAGGGATCTTTAGTGGATTTTCACATATTAAGAAACTGATAAACTTAGAAATTTCAACATGTGATATCTCAACGAAAAAAAAAGATATTTGAGCAAACTCAACGGCATTCGAAAGAGGGAGCCTTGTACTTTTAAATTATATGTATTTTTTTTAAGAAGAAAAACAGTGTTTTTTGCACTTTTAGGTTAGGGTATCTCAAAAACCTGACATGATAAAGCAATTCTGCGGCCAGATTCGGATTCAGCACGCCAAAATCCTTCGGGAATGCATATTAGTGTGTCTGCTTTTCGACCCTTGTTGACCTGTGTAATTCATGATGTCGAAACCACATACCTATACGGTGTGTGCCCGGATGGGGTAGTGCAATCTTATAAACTTTTTTTATTGTTGATTTTTCGAGAAAAAGTTATTGTTTTATAGACACACTGAATATAGTACTTTTGTATAAAAATAAAGACACAAGTTTATTGAAACTCGTTAAAAATCAATTTACTATGTTCCCGCTATTTTTATAAGCACTTTTTGAACATGCTTGTATATGATTTAATGGTTGTTTTCATTAGTCAATACCATTACTTTTTTTTAGAGGACAGACTACATTCCGTCTGGCCTCAAATTAGAATATCTAGGTACTACCTCTATTTCGTGACTGTTTCATTCACGTTATGCTATTTTTATTGAAATAACTTCAGCGAAACCGTTATTCAGATATTTCCACACTACATGAAATATCTGGTAGGTAGGTGGTATATAACAGCATGAGTAGGGATCGTCAAAATATTTGTAGGTAGGTACTGAGACATTGGAATAAACTTCATCATGTCCGTATTAACCCTGATACTGTTAATCCTTAGATATCTACTAAAAATATTTAAAGGATAATGAATGTATTTTTCAAATTGCTAAGAAATTTAAATAAGTAACGTGAATCTTAAAATCTGACATTCTACAAATGGACTGCAAAGTTAGCTGTAAATTTTCATTTTTTTCCAAAAAAGTGTTGCCCTTCAAAAAGATTTTATGCCAAAGACTTTAAAGAAAAAAATATATAATTAATCAAATAGACTAATAACCGTATACGTATTATAATACAGGGTAGTTCGAATTGCATAAGGTCATGTATTACCTTATAGTGTAATTCCCAAAATAAAAAAACCAGTGCATTAAACATGCTTAATTTAAAAATGCAGGCAGTTCAAGTCGAAACACGTATAAATTTATTTGAATATAAGTATTAAAAACACCTAAAACTTTATTTTTATATAAAATAAAATAGCAAGTTTAAATCACAATCATTCTGGAGCAAATTTTCTTTTTATTTTGAAGGTCTACGGCCTACATACCCTGACCAGCATTAAATTATACCAGCAATATATTTCGTCTTTGTCAATGGTAACGTTAGAACAATAAGAATAAAGTTTACATTATTTATTTCAATATATGAGGTATGTTTTTCAATTCAATTGTTTATAACTACTTATTTACTGCTTATTGCTAGTTAATTCAATACTTGTCAGGGCACGTTGTTTGTAGAGTAGTTGCTTTTTGTAATATCATCATATCAAAGTGAAGTTAGATATCTTTTGAATACCTACATTTTTGGTATAAAAACATGTTAACTTCATTTGTTAAGTTTTTAGGCTGTTTTAAAATTTATTTGGATTTGTTTAATAGGTACGTTTAAAATAGAGCTAATAATAAAATCGGTACCTATATATTTTTTTAAAAAGTTTATCTTTAGGCATTTTGAATGATCAAAAATCATTTTCATGAATCTCAATTTAAACACCCTGTGTGTAGGAAATTATTTCCTGACTTACGTTTGTGGGAATTTTGTTTCTTATTTAGAGGAGTTATATCATTAGTTTAAACTATGCAATACACCTGTACACCCTGTATTGTGTATTATGCATATATTAGTTAAATATAAGAGGGTAGAAACCTTGCAACTATTTTGCAAAAAATACGTTAAGAGAACAGTAACGCAATAAGACATGTACAAACTTGAATATGTTTATTAATAGACCACCCAACTTATTTCGATCGAATATCTGGATCTCAAACTATCAGACTGAATAAAAATTATAGTAAAGGCTAGTATTATATAATTAAACAAAATAAAATAAAACAGAATCGCAGTGTTTTTATAACAAGATTTAAATCCATTGAAGTTAACAGTTAGATAATCTTTGTAACTAATATTAGTAATAATATCCTTAAACTAAAAACCGATTTTAATTTTATATTAGACTAAAATTTTTTCCAATAATTTTATTTCATGAAAATTTTTAATGAAGAGTCTTAAAATATGATACAAGTGCCTATACTTTAGATAAAAACATTCAAACGTACCTGCGCATTTAAACGTCTGAATGCTAATGTTTCTCTACGTTCTGTAGTTTGATACCAAAAAAAAACATGTAAGTAGTAGTTGTAAACAGATTGTACGACTAAATAACTAGGTAATCTCTGAAGAATCTAACCTTACACTACTAAATCAGGTGCAAGGAATTAAAATTTGGCCTAGAATTGACCCTGAAATTATGCTACTAGGGAAAAATTTAAGAAGGAAGACTCATTTCCTTAAATTTCAACTGTTTAGTTTGTGTTTACAAAGACAGAAGATCTGAGGCTTTCACCGTCCCTAATGTTAGTTTCTCGAGTCGTTATGACGTGGGGCTTATGCACTTGATCGCTGCAAGTTACAGACTTACATTGCACTTCCTTAGCCTTAGCTAGGAATCTTTGCTTTTGTTGTTCTCGGGCCAGGGTTTGCGGGGCAGACCCGCTTTCACAAACTCTACGCCCGCCCTGACATTGATTCCGGTTCTTATTAATTGTAAGGTCTAAGACCGAATGGTCCTCAACAATAGTTTGTAACTGTTCACATTCAATGTTTCCAAACGTTTCGCTGCTATTTACTGTCAGCATCATCAATGGTAACTCTGTGAAAGCCTGCCGAGCACAAGGTAGTGTTTATACGTAGTGTTTATAAATAGTGGACCAATTTTGACATTTTTGGGGGTTTCTCCTACTTTAGAGATATGAAAAAGAAGTTCTTGCAGAAAAGTTGAAGTTGCTCAATAAATATTATTTTATTTTTGGATTTTTAAAGTTTCTTTCAAAACATCATCCGTGATGTTTACACAAAAAAAAAATGTTCGTTCTATACTTTAATAAGAAAATTAATATTAAGAATAATAAGATAACCTGAAATTTATGGGGATTACTTTTTTCTTAAATTATTGAAGTTAGACATGGCAAATCATTATAAAGAGAATATTAATGTTCAATTCCTTTAATTAAAATAAAATAATTTTTGGAAAATTAATAAAATGTTATTCATCAGTAGTTCTAGTCATTAGGTAAGTATTTAAAATTATAACAAAATATGATGTTTTAATGGAGAATGATCTATGTATATTTTTAGAGGAAACCATTATTAAAATTAATAATAATAATAATAACAACCACCTTAATAACCCAAACCTATTTAACTTTATAAGCTATTTCCTGCTCATCTTAAATAAAAAATATTTTAAAGTGGGTAATAGTTTTTAAACTATGGACATAAAATGAAAATTCATTCGTCAACCCTTTCCCGCCCAAATGTTTTGATGAGTGCTTATAAAAATAGAATATAATTAGATAGGTGCCTATTTTTAAGTTACAGAATTAACATTTATACATGTAAATCTGTACTTACCATTCAGTATATCTTTTTACCCGAGTTGTATGGGTAAAATTATCTTGTTCATCTTCTGAAACAGTATCATCATCTGAACTTGATTCACCAACCGCACTTTCTTCATTTTTCATGTTTTGCTTGTAATATGCGGCAATAAAATCAATTACGATAATATAAAAGTTACTAGAATCGAGCTTCAAATCGATCACACGATAGTGTATGACTCAAAAAACTGCTTAAATTTAAAATTTATGACTTTAAAAACATTAACATTGCGTAGTGTCGAGTACTGTGCAGTAGTACGATTGAATGAACTAAAACAGACTTCACTGTTTATAGATTCAAAAACTTTAATGGATCAGTTTATAAATAGCCTTTATAGACTTGTGAGAAAGGTTGTTTTGGTTGCAGATTATAAATGAGTATCCGCAATCCCACAAGTGGTAAATATTTAAAAGATTCACTTACCCAATTTAGTAAAGCTATAAAACGAAGGTAATACTCTTATGCAAGCGCCTCCAATTATAATCGACTTATTGTTAACATTAACAATAACACCGACAGTCTTGTATTTTTGGTTGTATAACCTAAAAAAAACACTTGTAAGGGATTATTTTGGACGTTCCAGAACGAAATAAGGAAAATCGATAACTAAATAAAGAGCCAGGGGTTGAACCAGTGGCAGAGTAGACAATATATAAAATTAACAAAAATAGGTACTTTGTACAAAATTTTATTTCACATATTTTTTCACGTTTTTATTCTTAAATTCACGTTTTCTAAAAGAAAGAGAGAACATATCAAATTAAAAAAAAATAGTAGTTTTAGTTTTTAAATTTTTGAATTATTTTTTTTGTGGAATCGTGTGTAGAACGGAACTATAAAAATGCTCTTGAAATGCTCTCATTAAAATTTCTACCGTCGGGCCTTGTATATTATGTATACACAATAATTATAGGTAATGGTTTCTGTTTCTTTCTACAGTTTCCGTCGTTCCTGATCTTTTTAAAATGCGTCTAAAATGCGTATGATAAAATAAGTACCTATTAGTGATAATGCTCTTAGATTCCCCCCCGCAACACCTGACGAACTAAGACTGACAATACGCAGACTTAAAAACAGAAAAGCCCCCGGACCCGACAATATACATAACACGACACTTAAACGACTACCACACAAGGGCCTCATGGCCCTACTAAACATAACAAACGCGACACTCAGACTAAGACACTTCCCTACCCGCTGGAAAACAGCAAACATAATCCTTATCCCAAAACCCAACAAAGATCACACCATCCCATCCAACTACCGGCCCATTAGCCTGCTCCCGGCTATGAGCAAAGTGGTAGAAAAAATTATCCTAACCCGTCTAAGAACCCACTCCCAAGAACTGCAAGTCATTCCAGACGAGCAGTTCGCCTTCCGACCCAATCACTCCACTGAACTCCAAATCCTTCGCCTTACCGAGCACATCACGGCGGCCTTCAACAGGGGACAGTACACTGGTGCTGTCTTCCTGGACGTCGCAAAGGCCTTCGATACGGTTTGGCATGAAGGCCTACTGATGAAAATGCTCACCAACCAATATCCCATATCCTTTACCAAACTCATAAAATCCTACCTACACCACCGTAAATTCCGCATCCAAATCCAAGATTCCCTTTCCACCACCCGTCCCATGGAGGCCGGTGTCCCCCAGGGCACCGTCCTGTCCCCACACTTATACACCATTTACAACTCCGACATCCCACATCCCCCCAACACCAACATATACTTATACGCCGACGACCTGACAATCACATCCCAATCCGTAGATCCTAGATATTCCGTCTCCCTCCTCCAAAACTCCTTAGACCAACTTGAAACCTGGTGCAACAGGTGGAAAGTCAAAATTAATCCCAACAAAAGTTCGGCTATCCTTTTTACCAAACGAAAAATCCCACAAAACCTCGACAGACTGACACTATCCCAGGAACCTATCTCCTGGAATCGACAAACACGATACCTGGGCGTGACGATGGACCAGCGTCTCACGTGGAAACCGCACATCGTGGAGACGGTGGCGCGAGCGAAGACCACCAGGGCTAGGCTCTATCCCTTACTCAAAGGTGGAAACACCCTCAGTTTAAGGAATAAGCGAACGCTTATCAAGGTGGTACTTCAACCGCAGCCACTTAAAGTCATTACAGGCTGTGGAAAACATAGCCCTCCGCACGGCCACCGACGCGCCCTGGTACGTAAGAAACACTGACATATTACGAGACTTACAATACACAAACGCTACACAGACAATAAGACAAAACGCGGAGAAACGATTTGACGTAGCCGCTAGACATGACAATCCCCTCCTCAGGCAAGCCGTTGACTACGTACCCGACGTGACCGACAAACACAAAAGACCTAGACACCAACTTTTTGACCCTGGGTGACCACCCCAATGACCCCCCCCCCCTGCCCGCTAACCTTTTCTGTTTCAGAGACAGCCAGGATCAAGAAACGAAGACAACGACACACACACACACACATACACACCCCCCATACCCTCCTTACCCCTCCCCTCCCGCGCTAGCCTAAGGGCCACCTTAGCAAAGCGCATCCCAGGCTGCATAGCCGCACTACCCTACCCAACCATACCACACATAAACATGACACTACCCCCGGGGTTTACACAGACGAGCCGGCGAAGCAAGAAGAGCGCCAGAAGAAAGGGCCCTAGCCGGCGGGGTCCAGCCAGGACAAAAGGAGGTCCCACAAAGCGCCTACACCGGCCGCATTTGCGGTCGGGGTAGACGACGGATGGGGCCCACCTACGAAGGCTGTCCAGGCCTACACGAGATGAGGCAGGATAAAGAGGGATAATCCCCCTCGATCCCAAATCATTGAGGCCAATTTCTAGCCATAGAATAATGGCGCGGGTTCCGGTCCACAAAAAAATTACGGTTCTGGTCCGGTTTTCTGTCCAAAAACGGTACGGTCCGGGTCCCTGCTTTTAACTATAATTTAAGCTTTGTTCATCAAAATCCATCGCACCTTGGCCTTGCGAAAATTTTATTAGTCCTGTAAAATAGTAAAGAATTTTGTTGTCAACAATTTGTATTCTACTGGCTTGCTCTATGGAAGTTTCTATATATGCTCTATGCTCTATGGAGGGCTCTATCTGCACCTTCCATAGTTTGCTCAATAAACATAGATTTGACAGTATACTAACTGTCAAATCTATGCCAATAACACATTATAAATATTGATAGATGAATTTATCGCAAATGACCAACAAAAAAGTTGAGAAAAGATTTAACTTTTGGGTTGTGGGAAATACTCAGCCAGTCTTTTTTTTTAGATATTTTCTATTCTCTTTTCCTTGTCTATGGTTAGTCCATCATTCATTATTCAATCCAAATTAACCATCTATCTTATTTAGGTTTATGGTGAAATGTCAATATTGTCAATGTCAAACTGTCAAACATTAGTTTTAACCAAACTTTTAGCTAAATAAAATTTAATTAATTGTTTCTCATTTATAAAATAAAAGTAATAATTAAACATGGCAGATGATTTAGAAAATGTAAGTTATACTATTTTATCTTTTATACAATATTTAAAAATGAAATAACTTGTAGATTCCTTCGATAACTGTGAAGGAACCACTGGATTTGGTGAGATTAAGTTTAGATGAAAGGATATACGTAAAAATGAGAAATGACAGAGAAATTAAAGGAAGATTACATGTAAGAAATTTGCTTCTTTTTTTTTCTTAAATAAATTTTAATGTTTTTAAGGCATATGATCAACACATGAATATGATTCTTAGCGATGCTGAAGAAACGATAACTACAGTTGAAATAGATGAGGAAACTTACGAAGAAGTTTACAGAACAACAAAAAGGAACATCCCAATGTTGTTCGTTAGAGGTGACGGTGTTATTTTGGTTTCACCTCCAATGAGAACCTCATAATTTAGGTTTTATGTTGTCATTTTTCTAAAATTTATTATAAATTTTAAGCTAATAAAATAAATGCATTTTTTATGGATTTAATAGAACTATATTATCCTGAATATAAATAAAACTTGTAAGATGTTCTGTTGACATAATTATTGCATTCAGTAAATTTTTTTAGAGCTAATGTAATTTTTAAATGGAGCCACAAGTTTTGATAAACTAGGCTGCAAAACATGTATAAAAGAATGCTTTTTATAATTGAAAGAGATTTACTTATACTTAGGCTATATTTAGTGCAGTTATAGTCAGAATTTTAGGGTTAGTTCAGCTGTTTTTAGAGAGAATTTTACATAAATTACATTTGAATATAATGAGGCTTCTAATATCCTGAATATAATTTTTGGAGCACACACATTTTTAAAGTTACAAATTTTATGGCAGTAGATGCAGTTCAATTTTAGTTTTTAATTAGTACTTGGTTTTTCTCTTATCAGTTAATTTATTCAAAACTTATGAGCAGAAAGTTCAGTAGGTTTTTGTTAAATTTCAGTTTATAGAATGGCACTTGTCTGCATGGATAGACATATCCATTGTAAAAATAACTAATTGAGGATTAATTCGAGTTGCAACATGCCATTTAGCATTGAGTGGTACGCTGTAGCGTACCCTTGAGGAAACAGTTCGTGCTTAATAATTAGGGGTATTTCAGTTTCGTAGATTCTATAGACTCAACTTCAGCCAGTTTGTAAATTTGAATGAGATACTGAGAATGTATGAGATACTATTTAATTGACTACTGGAATTTGCTAAATTCAATTTAAATTTTATTTGATAAATCCTTCCTTAAAGATTAGAATTTTTTGAAGAGGTCAATAATTGGTGGAATCTATCACTCAAAATGAACATAGTGAACAATAATAAGATAGGTATGGTCAAAATAATGTGCCAAGAACATAATATATTGGAGAACGACTTAGTTGCCTAGCAACTAATAATCCCTTTCTAAAGCTGTTTTATATTCTTATTTTTGGAAAAAATTGGTGAAGTTCTTCATTAATTTATTCAAGAAAGATTTGGTTTTATACTGTTTTAAATTTCTTTAATTTCTTTGAAACAAAAATAGCTACTACAAACTTTGCAAACAAGACAGTAATTAAAAACGAATTAAATGCTAGTCACTTTATGTTGAAGTAAACATATGAACACATAACTTAATAAACTTACTTGTATGTGTTATTGCAAGTGAAATCTAGACCTTGGCGTATACAGGGTGTCCCTCCCATAAGGTAATCAGACATACCAGAAAGATAGTTTCCTTGGGAGAAAATAATATATGTTTACTGGTGCAAAGTACAACACATTTTGCTATATCAGGTGTTTTAATATATGCTGAAACAGGTCCTATTTTATTAGTATCCATATATCTAGTTTTGTTTACAATAATTCATAATTTTTTTTACCATATAACGCAAGCATATCGGCAGTGCAAAATGCCAAAAAGTCTATGCATGTAATTTCAAAGCTAAACAACTCTGAAGTTATAAATAACAATGCTAGATTATTTAAAACTGGAATGTCCAATTTCAAAAGGTGATGATTTTTTACTTAAAAACATTACTGAAGACAATGGTTTTTATAAAATTTTAACGTAAACTTCCCCAATTAACTTGTTACATTTAAATTCAATAAGGAAAGGAAATGATTGCAATACTCATCTAAATTCAGTCTATGTATATTTCATACAATTATTCGTTCTCGTCAGATGTTCCATTTGTTTTTCCTAGAAAAATTTCATAATCTCTTTCTCTTAGAATCTCAAGTTATATATTTTTTTCGCTTGGTTATCGTTTTAATGTGAATTAACCACAATATGCAAATGTCATGTCTATCACTCATTTTTTTTTTGTGAATGTGTAATAGTCATAATAAGTGGTGTCCTCTGTAATAAAGAAACCCTATACACGTGAACTTCAGTGATGTATAAGACTATGAACAGTGTATAATTCTTCACACTTTCTGATATGTATTTAACTTTAGGACTTGCCGTCACAAGCTAGCAGTCTGGCAGACATTATCCAGTCTCATAGTAACTCTTTTTATAGACCATACTGAACCACATATTACTTTCCAGTGGCATGATTGTTTTAAAAATAAAACAATAATAACAATAAATTCATTGTTTGATTGTGGTAATAAATATGACTTCAAGAGATTAAGAGATATAGGGCGTGCATCAGCATCTTCACAAGGCATGGAGGAAGAAAACAGCCAACCTACTTCTCTATCTTTAATGGAGTCATTATTGAATTCGCTGTTCCTCAGATTTCCTAGGGACAATGGCAGATCTTGACAACGCAAGGACAGTGTGAATCGTTTTGTAGAGAGAAATGTAGATATGGTCTAAAGTTATTATTTATGGCATAGTTTTCCTTTTTTCTTATTTATTGGCAGTTTTGCCATCTATGAAAAAAATTTAAATATACATAGAACATACATAGGAATATAATTAAACATAAATATCGTCATAGGTATAATGAAAATACTCAGTACAGCAACTGTAACTATACTCATATAGGAACCTTGGTCCAACAAAATTGTTGAACAAACACATTTTATTACACTTCTTAATAAACCCACCATCTAGATCTTAAAATATAAAAATAATACAGGCAGTCCTCGAGTTACGTCGAACAATATTTTAACACTGGTTCTCAATCTTACGCATGTTTTGAAAGAACATTGTAACAGCAAGTATAAATTAATGCTACTCATAATGTGTGAATAAGTGTGAGAGAACACTTTGTAACAGCAAGAAATCTCTAGGTACAATTTAATGCTACACATGATGTGCAAAGAAAAGTCTTGTGTGAAGCAGCAGGACATTAAACGCAACTAATCGTAGAATGAGACAATTCGCTGGATGACATGTATGCTGGTAGGATTTTGAATGTCTTTTGTTTACTGACAAATCTAAGTTTTGCTTATGCAGACCTGACCAATAGAAAGCCAGACAAGTGAATTGTATTCCCAGAGCAACATTTGTCAGTTTACTTTATTTAATGGATGTTCCATAATAATTTGAGGAAAAATTTCCCTGACAACGAGAATGGGGAAGTTCCTTAAATAGTATGCGATATATTGAGGATATTTTATATAGGCATGTTCTCCATTTCCTTATACAGGGTGTCTCATGGTGACGGCACATTAGAATTATTTCAGAAAGTACTTCGATTTGAATTTTGAAAATTTGGGATACGGGGTTTTTGGGCATGCCCTTCTCAACTAAAATAATGGTGTCCATGTACCACTTCCGGTTATACTGAAAGTCGCCATCAACTTGCTTATTTTAAATGGAACACCCTATACATTATTGCAATTTTGGATTCTACGTGTTATTTTAGGTGGACTTTTATGAAGTTTCCCTATTCCTAAAATTAACCGTTTTCAAGATATTTCATTTTTTTCAAAAAAATTGAGAGAAACAGTGACTAGCTGAAGCTAGTTTGAAGTTTAAAAACCATGTGTATTTTATAGTAAAAAAGATAAAGCAACAATATTTATAGGGGGGATAGCTAGACCCCTAAGCTTCCCATCCATACTTCCAAAATGGCTTAATTGCATACAGGGTGCTAGAAATTTAATTATTATCAACATACATAATTAAAACTGTGTATTACTATATATGAAGTTGATTTAGAATTCTTAACTTTATTCTGCTCATTAGTGGAAAATTGGGATGTCTCATTAAAAACTGTAAAAGTTCTGCTTAGAATCCCATTGCAACATCTGTGAATAAATAATAATAAATAACTGGTGACAGTTTAGTCGTTTGTTTTTAAGTTTTGCTAAAAATCCACAGCTATCCTTGCAAGAACTTACATGACTTTAGGTGATTACACAAAAAATAGTAGATAACTTAAAAACTAGAAGAGATAGGTTTTGGGGACCCTGATACTGTTCGAAATAGAATAAAGTTGTGTATCAGAACATAGAAAAACATACAAGGTGTTCCATTTAAAAAAACTGACTTATGAAGGTTTGAAGTTAACTAAACCCTGTATGCAATTAAGCCACTTTGAAAGTATGGATGGGAAGCTTTATGGGTCTAGCTATCCCCACTATAAATGTTGCTTTATCTTTCTTACTATAAAATACACATGGTTTGAAGCTAGTCAGTTTCTCTCCATTTTTTTGAAAATAATTAATTATCTCGAAAACAGTTAATTTTAGGAATAGGGAAACTTCATAAAAGTCCACCTAAAATAACACGTAGAATCCAAAATTGCAATAATGTATAGGGTGTTCCATTTAAAATAAGCAAGTTGATGGCGACTTTCAGTATAACCGGAAGTGGTACATGGACACCATTATTTTAGTTGAGAAGGGCATGCCCGAAAACCCGGTATCCCAAATCTTCAAAATTCAAATTGAAGTAGTCTCTGAAATAATTCTAATGGGCCGTCACAATGAGACACCCTGTATAACTGTGTATCTCAATTAATGAGATAACTAACATGAACCAAAAAATAAATTTATCAAGAAAGATATAGTTGGATTTAAGAAGACATTCTTTAACACAACCAGAATTTTCTACAGGGTTTCAAATTTTGGAGAATAAAGACTTACTCTTGCACCCTGTATATTTTCAAAACAAATTATGATAAAAACTTCTACAATAAGGACTTTAATAGATCTGATAAGCTGTTCACGAGAAAATCAGCTTTGTATTTGAGGCACATTTTTAGTGACACATTAATTTTAATGCGAAATGTATAATAAAAGACACTACATATTTCAGTAATATATTTAACTCATTTTTATTTACCCATTAAATATTTTACAAATGCTTCCTGAAGGAGATAGTTATAGTCAAAATATTAAAAGAGTATTAGCATAGTACGAGATAAATATTGTAACTATACACCTTATATAATTTAAAATGAAAAGCATACAAATTTACAAAAATGTTCATTCATTACACTATATACATGTTTTTCTAAAAGTAAAGCGTACCTACAAGCACACAGAATAAAGAAGATTGGGAAATATTCTTTAACAGACGTATATTTTGTACATATTCATTATCTTCAAGCCAACACAATTTTTCAATAAAACGTACTCGAGTATAGCGACAATATAGTCTTCGTAAATGTTTAGCGATGAAGACTAAAATTATTTCTATATAAAGTTTAGCACACCACATAGCGAAAGCACATTTATTAAAGAATATTCCCCAATTTTCTGGAGAAAACAAAAACTTGGAGAGTATAATACTGACAATTTGGCATTGCTCTTGGAATAATTTTTACATTTGGTTTAAATAAAACAGTCATACAGCTGAGTCTATATAATTAATTTATTCTCGATAAAGCCAACATTTATATATATTTTTTTGCAATTTAAACATACATTTGATTTTACTTTTGTATACATTTTTTGTATATAGTTGGCATTATTTTCAAGTGGCTTTGCAACAAAGAAACATATTAATTGTAATAATGCGCAATTTTTTTAATTTAAGAATTTACGAGGTTAGTAATACTGGAATTTGTATAAAATTTCAACAACTAGTAAATGATGTAATATACAAGACTTCAAATTTTTTAATCGTGCTTAATTTTCAGTCATATCACTTACATGTGCAGATTCTGTGTTTAAATAAAATATTTACAATATTAGAAATACAAAAAAATTTAAATATATTTAAAAAGACTAGTGCTGTAGACAATAAACACGTTTATTTCTCTCTGGAAAAATTTCTATACGATTGGCCTATATTTACAGTATTTAAGAGGTCAAAAATTTAGGTGTAAATATTGAAAAAAATATTAATCATCCTCATTATAGTAAAATCAGTAAAACACACTCAATGCTTAATATACCGAACAAAACTCTATGCCTAGACTTAAATGATCTCATTTCTTCAGCGATCTTTTTTTAAAAACAAAAAATTTTCAAATATATTTTTAAATAAGGGATGAATGTAATATTTTTCATTCACATTAATGATTAGGTCAGTGATACATAACGAACATAAAAAAATTCATAGTTCCATGACAAATTTGATACAATTTTTTGTGCAATTGTTGGATTTCTGATAAATAATTGAATAGGCCAGACAGAACACATTATGGCGAAGACATTTACTGAATTTTGCATTAATTTTTCAAGATGGTAAAGTAGTGCAAACGCCGATCCATATTGAAGTAAGAAGACTATCTGCAGCTAATGAATAGCAATCTCAGCGTCTCTATAGTAAAATCACTTCAACTTCTTTAAGCAAGTTTGATAAAGTCTAACCCGCTCTTAAGCGTTTATTTAAAGGTAAAAAATGACTTGTATGATTTAAAAATTTTAACGCCATATTTGTGCTGCTGAAATTTGTTTCGCCTTCCTTATTTCTGGTATATAGGACATTAGACCTAAAGTAACTTAAAATATTTTTGCTAAGTTGTTCGACTTTTTAAAAACAATTGGTTATTACTAAAAATCATCATTTTCAAAATTTTTCCAAATATGTAGTCGATCTATAAGAAAATCTGAATGAAGTTTTCTGCGAGGGTACAAAATTTGATATACACAGGGTGATCACGGGAAAATTTTCCCCTGTTTTTTATGGCACCTGTTCTTCATCTGATAGTGTTGGCATCGATACTCTCTAACCACAGACAGTCTAGAGTCCCCTCAAATTATGAGCAATTTCAAACAATAGGATGGGGCCTTGTGTCCTGTACAAGGTACAAGGTAGGTACAAGGTAATACTACAAGAAAATTTAAGTGGAGGAACAGAAATAAGTTTTACAAACATGTGAGCAGAATACCTCATTTTTGAGATAAAGGGTGTTTTTCCTTTATCCCAGCAGTATTCAAACTGTTTTCCGTGGAACCCTGGGGTTCCCCACAACCTCTCTGATGATTCCGCAACTCAGTCAAAAATTCAAATTTTTGAAATTAATAATATCGATACTACAAAATTATAAAAAAAACTTATTTAAAACTGGTATTTATGTATTCGATAATTTTTTTAGGTGGTTCCTCAAAAAAATCGAAATGTTGGCCAGGTTCCCCAAGTCGTAAAAGTTTGAAGACCGTTGCTTTATCCCATCGTTATGTTCTGAAAGCGATTTCTATTTATTCAGTGAAGGAGAGATACCTAAAATACACCCGATGTTTAGACAGAAACGGAGACAAACATCAGTGAAGACATCAGAATAAATTTTGAGCTTCGACGCGTTTTCCCAGCCGATAGGGCCACTGCGAGTCGTTATTGTGCCATTAGGTACCAGTTGTGGTCTTTTAGAGACGATATTATAGAGATAAAACTTAATTTGGACATTTTAAATTTTCCGTTTACATCTGTGGAGACCCAAGGTATGGAGTTTATAGGAGTGAAGACTCAGTGTTTAAAAAATAGGGCCGTTTCTTGGATTACGTAAAAGGGGGCTAAAAAGATGCACGAGAAATTTAAAATAACAATATTTATACAGGGTGTTCCGAAATTAATGTAACAAAATTTAGTCAGATTCTTAAGACAAATTTAGGGGATCCGTATTTCTTATTTGTGCCAAGTGGCCCCCTTTTTCGGAGTTACAGCCACCTGAAATCCACCCTTAAGAATAGTCCTTTTTTTATAACTCAGAACCCTTTTAACTCAGAACCCTTTTGTACGAAAATCACTAAATTTGGTACACAAGGGTTTCATGACGTGGGATCTGATAGTGCTACGTTTTTTTGGCAGGGAATCCCCTTAAGATAATTTTTCGTGGGTCCTCTTTTCAACAAAAAAAATTTGGTTGCATATTTAAATTTCTTAAAAATTATTAGTCCACTAAAAAGCCATTAAATTGAGAAACTTTTTTGTTCCTCGATATTTTTTTCATAAAATGCAGTTTTTGAGAAAAATGTCAAAATGTGATCGAATGCGTATCATGATTCGCCATTTTTCTCAAAAACATTGTGTTTTACGAATATCAAGAGACAAAAAAGTTTCTAAATTCAATGGCTTTGTAGCGAACTAATAATTTTTTAGAAATTCAAATATGCGACAAAACTTTTATATACAGGGTGTTTAAAAAACTAAGGTACACGAAATTCCAAAAAATGTTATATTTACCATCCGACGGGCAAAGCACTGTGCGGCCCGAATGGGGAAAAGGGGATAAAGCAACTCTATGAAAATTCCAACACGATGTATTTCTTGAGACATGTTTATAAGACTTCTTCTTTAAGGAATCTCTACCTAAATTTTAGCAAAATATTAGCGAATCTCGGTGTACATCTAACACTAATACATCAAAGCGTCCTCTTCGGATGTGGAAAAAAATAGTGTTTCATTTAGAAAACACAAATTCAGTCTATACATCAGTTTTTTGCGACACAAGAAGCACAAAATTTAAGAGTTTGTTAACGAATTGTATAACAGATTAACGGTTTATATAACGGAAATAATGTGAAAAGCAATTTTCACGTGATCACCCTGTACAGGTTGTACTCTCAATTTAATTTTGTGATGAACTTTAAAAGCAAAACAAAAGCTCTAAAACTTTTTATTAAGTTAAAATTAATCATCGAAACAAGAAAGATTGCTGATTATTAAATAAATTAAAACTTTTAAGACTTGACGAAAATATCTTCACAAAGCCAGTATTGAAAACTCTGCCACTTCTTACACGAATATTATATGTCTCTCCCGACAACAGCGTGATCCACTTGCTTTACATTCGTTGTTTTCACTTAGTACACCTGGCTAGCTGTACTAGCCTTTCGTCTGTGTCACGCTGACGTTTCGTTCTCTCCCCAGCCCTCACTGTCACACTCCGAATCACTTCCTGAATCCGAATCGCTGAATTCAACCGCCACCCTTCTTGCCAATATACTAGCGACGTCGTGTAACCCATTGCCACGTTCTACTTCTTTCTGTTCAATCTTCTCCACTTTCCTAAGTTTGATGCCGTCACGTATCGCTTTCAGAAGGTCGTTGCGGGGGTCGGCCATAGGCGGTTTAGTCATCGGACGATCTTTAACGGGAGTCAACTTGGGTGGCGTAGAAGAGTTCAGAATCTTGGCCAGGTCTCCGTTAAGCAGAGGCGGAGTAGTGGTGGGCCCATTGGTTAATACCGGCATAGGAGGCGGTGGAGGCGGAGGGGGAGCTACGGGAGTTTGCTGTTTGGGTGGGGAGGCCTGTTTCACTGGTGCAGGTGGCGGAGGAGGTAAGTCTTGTATTGGTTCCGGAGTGGCTAGGTGGGAGTGCGGGCTGCTAGACCTGGACTGACTCGATTGTCTGACTATATGCGCTGGAATACCGTTAGGAGGTGATATAGTTGCTTCAGGTGGTGGTGGAGGGGGAGGCAAATTGTCTCGTCCCGCCGACATGCTCCTACCTCGCGTTGGTGTATTGGCGGAAGGTGTGCTGGTATTGCTTGGTGGTGCAGGTGGTGGCTGACTAGGTCGAATTCGTCCACCTCTGGTGGGAGTACCGCCGGCATACAAAGACTCTGAACTTAGGGGCCCTTGACCGTACAACCCATGTTGGTAAGGATTTTCTTCGTAAGGTGGATAAGTAGGGGAATGTAAACCGTCTGGGACTTCCTGCTGATAGGAACGTCTGATCTCGATGGAATTTGGCCGAGGAGGGCGCTGCTCGACAACAAGTTCTTCGTGTGGTAATTGTGTAGGTTGTTGCAGTTGCTGAGGAGTTCTAAAAATTGAACAATAAATCAGTGGGTGTAGAAAATAAAATTAGATCGATAAATACATGTTTATCATGATGTAAAAATGATAAAATATAATTTTTATTAATTTATCACAAGGAATTGATTTTTTTATTGGGAAATAGGATCTACTCTGCTTATTTCTTGTGGAACACCTGTACGCTTTTCCATATTCTCAGCATTATAAAGATATTAGGTTTGAAGGGAGACATTGTTATAATAAAAATGTGCATAAATGTAATAAATAAATTATTAGTTGTTTAAAGAAAATGCAATCAAATTCTTTTGACAATATATTATAGTGTTCCATAAAAGAGAAAAAACAAAAGTTGGTACCTATTTCTGGAATACTCAGTAGTAGTTAGTGGTTGTAGTGGTAGTAATAGTTGAAGAAGCTATGGAAATGAGCAACTTTCAAAGATGTATGTTCCTAGTGCTCAGGTGTTACATTTAATCATCTGAGTCAAGGAGTATATTTTTGTTATTGTTCACATCAGCACAACTACATAAGAAGTCTGTATGGAAAAGTCTAGTAAGGGCAAGAAGGAAAAGAGGCTTCCTACCATGTTAGATTATAATTATCTATTATTATCATTATCCATGTCCATAATTTTTAACTGTCAGTCCCTACTACTACCGTCGCCATTGTCATCCCTGATTTTGTCTATATTGTGGACCCTCATATCCCCGAAATCTGTCACTGTGGTTCTAAAATCGCCCCTGTCTCTGTCTGTGCTGTCTAGGTTTCTATTTTTGTTGAAGTTGTCCCTATTGCAACCAATATTACGCATTGGTTATCGGATAAATAACGAGTAATCGGTAAATAGCGGGTAACAGGTAAATAATGGCTAACAGATAGGTATTTAAAAATATGTGTCTATGTTCCTGTGCCTCTACTTTCTTTTGCCGACTTAAAATCATGACCAGGGCACTAAATTTTTATTTGACAGAGGCGACAGGGAAAATCCTAAAAATATTTTAAAAATATCCAAATACTCGTCATGAAAAATGAAAATGAGCAACACTTTCAGTTTTTCGAAAATCACCCTTATTTAGGGGTTGAAAAGACAAAAAAAGTGAACAAATTAAGAATCATCAACAGTTGTAAAACACCAAATATTTCTATGTTGTTATCAAAATAATATCATGAACGTGAAAATATCTAATTTCGTATTTAAAACGACTTATGTTGGTAGACCCTAACCACCATTCACTGCAGGAATGAGGGAAACCTGGAAAACCTCATTAATTAGGGGGGTGGTCAAATGCCAACCAGTGTCAATCTCTCACATTGACCCAAGCCAACATTCTTCCGCCCTACCATACCTGTACAGAGGGTGCCAATCTTCCGTACAAGCATTGCTAATCTACGGTATACCGGCCGCGGGAATCGAACCCGGGCAGAAATTTGAAGACGATTTAAGTACTGACGCCTTAACCCATGCGGCTATCGACCGATCATCCCCTAAACGCCTAAAAATGCAAAAAATATATTATAGTCCAGGCGGTATCTGTCTTACAAAGGGTGTACTTGGGTAAAACGCATATGATCGGAGATTTTTGCTTTAACGGCTTCTAAATAACATCAGAAATGATAATTTTTCTATGTAAATAAAAAAAAACGTGGGTTTAATTGTTATTACAAAAAAGTATAAAAAAATAACAAAAAAAAATCATTTTTTTCTTGGATTTCTCGTCGACAACTTAGCAACTATTCATTTTAGACAAAAATGGAAGAGGAAATTAAATTTTGAATAAGATAGAGTTAGTTGCAATTCGAAAAAATAATTATTGTAAAAATCGGAAAAATCATTTAAAAAATTGCAAAAAATGCTAGTTTATTTGTCAATTTTTTTCAGACACTTGAATAATACCTAGGATCTTCATACTTTTCCCAATTAAACTTCTTAGTGCATAAAATCATCACACCAAATTTCATCCAATTCGGTTCGATAGTTTTTACATAATAATTGTTTAATTTTTTTTATTTTTTTTAAATTAAAAATTTTCAAAATCAAATTTCTAAAAATCTAAAGCCTTTGAATACTTGAAAATTTCACCACAAAAAGAAGAGCTCTCAAGCTTTAAAATGCTTTTTGCAAAATTCAAATCGGACGATTAGGAGAGCTGTGGTGATTGTTTAAACATTTTCGCAATTTTCACGCTTATAAACAATTGCAATAATTTAATGTTCTTTTCAAATTTCAGTCAGTCTGCCAATTGGTGTTGCTTCAAACAGTTGTAGAGAGTCCCTGAGACAGTTTTTATGTGACAACTATTTTGACCTCTTCGATTTTTTTAAATAGTTGATATTCAAAAACATGCAGCATTGAAATTTTGTTTTCTGCCCGATAAAAGTGCATGGAACGCAGGTGATATATCGTCTATAACTTATAAAGAACATGCCTTGAAAAGAACTCAAGTGTTTGCGTCGTATTAGCGATTGAAAAGCAGCTACATGTCGATCAAAGACATTCAGTGCACAGGTCGGCCTTTCACGTCCAGAACTGATCAAAATGTGGAAAAAATTTGAGTGCTTGTGTACAAAGATAGAAGGCGTACTATGTACTTGTTGAATTATCTGGTCATTTGTGGAACTCAGTGCAACAAGTTTTAGCTGAAGATTTGCAAATGTGACCACCATGACAACTCACACAGCCATCTCTGTGCATAATTTTTTGGCGAAAAACATCATGACAGCGCTTCCTAACCCACCCCTACTCACCTGATCTGGCACCCTGTGATCTTTTTTTGTTTCCCGAATGAAAAGGGAGCTGAAAGGAAAACGTTTGCAGACATTTCCGCGGGGAGAAGAAAATCAAAGGCGAGGCTGCAAGACATCAGATAGGACAAGTACGAAAGGTGTTTCGCAGTGGAAAAAATGTTTAAACTAGTGCATTAGTATTAATAGAGCGTACTTCTAAGGTGACTAAAGTTTATAACCCGAAAAAATTAATTCTCTATTTTTCTCTACGTGATAGTTTATGTATTTTTACAACCATCCTCATCAATAGTATGTATTTATCAGCTGATCATTAGCTGTTTGTATAGCTGTCTTTGTAGTAAAATATAAAGAAAAAAACATAAATACCTGTAGATTGTATTCTGTGGCATAATAAACTCCCCATGTTCTCTTGCGTTTTGTTTCTGCCTTTCCCTAGTATTATGAGGTTGCCTCACTCGTTTCTTGTGTCTGTTACCTTGGCCGCCCTCCGTTCTAGGCCTATGAGGTTTCTTTCCCCTGTCGTGCATCATCCTTTCTGTATCGTTGAGCATCTCCTGCCTCCATAGTTCGAAGAAGTAATTGGGATCAGTATAGAACTTCAAACCATCTTTTCCGTCATCTCGGTAACAGTTTAGTTTGTCAAGAGGAGGCGGTTTGTCACATGAATTGTAGGTTTCAAGCATGGCTGTCGGCATTGTTGCCCTTGAAAATATCTAAAAAATATACAAACATATATGTACAACAGAATCGTGTAGAGAATTCTATAACTTTATATTAAAAAAATTAAATTAGTATAATTTTATCTGTACTTAAGGATACTGCATTTGTACATTTGTACAGAATATGCTACCATTTACGAAATTTAAGTAATTTAATTGCTTTGTGGACTGCTGAAGGGATTTTGCTAATATGAAGTAAAAGATTGGAATATTCTATAATATTAAGTTCCATTGAAATTAATAATACACTACTACTATGAACTTAAAATATTTTGTATTAAGCAAGTGTCACTAAAACTAACTCTTTTGAATATGACATCAAAAGCAAAAGCTAATCGCACAAAAGTGATATAAGCACCATCAGAGCTATTTGAGAGATAAAAAAAAGTCATCACATATACATGTCATTGTTGTGATACACATACTGAATATTGTGCACTTATTTATGAATATGCAGGTTTTTGTGAACCTAAACTTTAGTCTACGTCTTTTTGTCAAATTATTTTTTGTTGTTTATATTTATTTGCCAGATCAGAAAAGATATGTACCAGATAAAATAAATATAAGAAAAATGTTTACATTTCCATCTACAGAGTGACCCATTTGAAAGCGGGCCACCCTCATAACATTTTTAATTATGGAGCGATTTTGACGAATTTTTTTTTGAAATGTAGAGGGGGGAAAAGTGTATTTTGGGGCCAAGCGCCGTCCAGTTCTTTTTTAAACTAAGGCCTACTAGATCACATTCAGAGGCTGAAAAATCCAGAATCCATATTAGCGATTTTTTTAGAAAAAATCTGCGTACGCCACTGGATTCGGCGTCCCCTGAAATGGATCTGTACCAAATTTCATGAAAAAATATTCAACATTAACGATTCTGCGGCTAAATTGCTGTCAAATTGTTTATTATGCATAAAGAAACTTTTTATCTAGTAACCCATGCGATAATAAATCAATCACAACAAATATTTAATAACACGTTTAATAGACATCATTATACCAAAATACAATGAAACAGACAGAAAAATGAACGAGAAATTAACATAAAATTTACAAAAAATACAATAAAATAAAATTAACACACATGAATTAAATTAAATTCTGGATTTTTCAACTAAATCTCCATTTAATTGAATGAATATTTTTGTAAATGTTGCCTCTCCTAGATTTTTTTTATGGGGGTTCATTAAAGAAAAAGTTTACTACACTCGTCCAATGAATGCAGAAGAACTGCGCGAAAGAAGAAGATAGGCATGCGCTGAAATTACAATACATCAATTGTCTAATGTTATGGCACATATTCAAAAACAATACAAGAAATGCATTCAATTAAATGAAGATTTAGTTGAAAATTCCTGAATTTAATTTAATTCATGTGTGTTAATTTTATTTTATTGTATTTTTTGTAAATTATATGTTAATTTCACATTCATTTTTCTGTCTGTTTCATTGTATTTTGGTATAATGATGTCTATTAAACGCGTTATTAAATATTTGTTGTGATTGATTTATTATCGCGTGGGTTACTAGATAAAAAGTTTCTTTATGCATAATAAACAATTTGACAGCAATTTAACCGCAGAATCGTTAATGTTGAATATGTTTTCATGAAATTTGGTACAGATCCATTTCAGGGGACGCCGAATCCAGTGGCGTACGCAGATTTTTTCTAAAAATATCGCTAATATGGATTCTGGATTCTTCAGCCTCTCAATGTGATCTAGTAGGCCTTAGTTTAAAAAAGAACTGGACGGCGCTTGGCCCCAAAATACACTTTTCCCCCCATTACATTTCAAAAAAAATTTCGTCAAAATCGCTCCATAAATAAAAATATTATGAGGGTGGCCCGCTTTCAAATGGGTCACTGTATAAGAGGATTAAATTAGATTAAACTATATATTTAGGTATGGATAATAATTTTAGAATTTGAATGTTATCAATATCATATCTTTAAATATTAATTTGAAGATAACTAAATTATAACTCACTAAATATTTGCAGTAAATTACACCTGAACACAATGTTTTTTTTAACAAAACTTTAATATGAATAATTTTACAATCACTGGAGTTCAGTTATGACAACATTCAAGACAATGAAACCGCATCACACTAAATGGACAATACAGGGTGTTCCTAAATAAGTGTCACAACGGAAAACTGTAAATTCCTCTTGAAAAAAGAAACATATTTTTCCTTTTCCATTTTTCTCTCCGGGCTTTCATTTTTGAGATACACGTATCAATACATTTTTTTTGCTTTTTGCCAATATCTTGGAACTGTTTCAACTACAGTACTGAGCTTTTGTACACACATTACCACTATTAATAACTACTTTTTCACACCCTTCACGAATTCATTGGACTTGCCAGCGGTGGAGATTTTAAGGTATCGCAAGGTTTTCCCCTGTAACTTCTATGTCACTGGAAAAATTGACATTTGACAGCAAATTCTGAAGCGCTAAAACCATACATACAAAGGCAATGCCCTTCTGATAGTTTCATATAGTTAGTTTAAAAATGTTACAATTCACAACATTGATACGTCTCTGGAAAAAACGTACTATTACCCCAAAAAAAACTAAGCCCCACTTAAAGCTACACCCTGTATAACTCTCAAATAAATAAGGAAGCTATGTACAAATTAAGAAGTTTCTAGCTCAAACCATTTAAAAGTTATATGAAGAAATTATTTCATGGTACCACATTGAGAGAGATCTTGGTAGGCATCGACGTGTATGTACAGGGAATCCTTTAATTTGACAGCCAAACAGCTGTCACAAATAACAAATGAATTCAAAAAAACAAAGATCTATTCCAATTCCTAGCAATGATACAATAACTTGAAAAAGTAACTGTAGAAGTTTGTCAGTTGAATTAATGGACTAGATAAGTTGGTCTAAACTGACTCATCTGATCCAAGAAATTTCTGGTCTTATGTGGTCCACGTTTTAATGACAACCTGTATTTTCTATATAAAAAATTTTGTGGGTGGAACTATGTTGCAATATGCAGTCATTAAAAGCGGGGTCATAATAATCACACTCCACTGTACATTTGGTGTTAATTTTACACTATACAGGGTGTATCTAAATAACACCGAAAAAATTCAAGGGGCGATTCTCCGATGAAAATTAATTGGGGTCTTTGGTATAAAATTTTTTGAAAAAACCCTTCCCTGAAAAGTTACGCCCCTCCTAAAATTACAAAAAAAAATTGTTTTCCTTTTTTATCTTCCACGTACATCAAGCTAAAGAAACCAAACTTGGTGAACATTATCTGTCAATAAAACTACACTTTTTGAA